TCTTACGTTCTCAGTAGGATATTTCATTAGGCTCCTTGGTGCTTTCATTAGATTTTCTTAGAATTTTCATTGGGATATTTCATTCATCTCCTTGACTCTTTCATTACCATTTCATGGAATTCTCATTAGAATATTTCATTAGGCTTCTTGGCGCTTTCATTAGGATATTTCATTATGCTCCTTGACACTTTCATTATGATTTCTTACATTTCTCATTAGGATATTTCATTAGGCTCAGATTTTTCATTGGGAGATTTCATTGGGGCATTTGGTCCTTTCATTTCTTTTAGGATATTTCATTGAGCACCTTGATGATTTCATTACTTCTCATTAGGCTCCCTGGCACTTTCATTACCAAAACTAGATAATAATGATGATATGTATCACATGGGTTGTTGGGAGGGTGATCACATGACCAATTTCCTAAAATGGTCAAAAAACGAAAGTTGTAGCCCTACACTGTAGCTTCCTGAATCTGTTTGAATTATGTTGTGAAGTGCTCCTGTTGTGAATATATGATGTAAAAGATTCTTCCAAGTGCTGTGTTTTTTTTTGTTTTTTGCATTTTTCTCCATGAAAACAAAACCAAATAACATGATTCCAACACATTTAGAAAGCTAAATGAAATGGCAACAAATATTGTATCGTGGGAAAAATGACCAAAAAAGGAAGGTGCATTCCCTGAAAGAGCAATTGACACTGAAAGACTACAAGAGTCAGATATAGGCTACCAGGTTTACTGAAAGACTACAAAAAGTTGGACATAGACTACAAAAGTCGGACTTAGACTACAAAAGCTTAGACTTAGACTACAAAGTTAGGGTTAGGTTAAAAGGTTATCCACACTACAAATTTTTGTAGTCTGCACTTTTCCATTAGAAAATTTTGTAGTGTCCGCTTTTTTAGACTACACAAGTTTGTAGTGTCTGCTTTTTTATTAGAAGAGTTTGTAGTGTCCGCTTTTTTAGACCACAAAAGTTTGTAGTGTCTGCTTTTTAGACTACAAAAGTTTGTAGTGTCCGCTTTTTGAGGCTACAAAAGTTTGTAGTTGACATATGGTTTATAGTGTCCTTGATTCTGTATAGGTTATGGGGATGAGGTTAAAGGATTGACATGATTTTACATATTGCCATTGCTGCAGCATTGGTTTTTGACACCATGTACAAGTTGTCTTTCATGTCAAGAAAGGCTATTCTATGCCTTCCTATTGATAGCTACTGTCCTATCTCAAATCATAGTTCTAGGTCCATGTGGATATGGTTTGAAGGATTAAATAACTTTACATATTGCTATGGCCACATCATTAGCTTTTG